AAGGGTGGGGGGCAGCAGAGAATGCGGAGTTGTTTAATGGGTGTAGAGTTTCAGTTTTGCAAGATGAAAGACTTCTGGAATTGATTGCACAACAGTGTGAATATATTTAACACTACTGAGCTGTACAGTTCGAAATGGTCAAGATGCTCAATTAATTTTGTTTTTGATTTTTTAAGATGGTAAGTTTTGTTAATTTTTTTATAATTAAAAAAGAAAAACATAGCTAATTACAATCTGTAGAAACTCTCAAGCCTCTTTTTAGTTAGTCTATGAGCTCATTCTTCGTTCTCTGGATATTATAAACCTGCTAACCAACAGGAGAAACAATGTCTGGTTAGGGTTTCCTCTTTTTCATATATAAAGGCCTTTCTCCTATGGAGGTGCCATAGATCAGATCACCCTTCACCACACCTGACTGCGCCCAACACACAGGAAGGCAAGTGGATAAGGGGGACCAAAATAGTGCACATAACATACAGTCTCTACATTATAGTAATTTGACTTGAACATCTTTAATCAGAGGAATGCAAAACTCGACCTATTTGTTGTATCTGCTCATCCTCATATTTGTGAGATGAAAGAAGGAAGGTATGCTATTCCCTCATGTAAACACGAAACTAGAAACACATAGATCTTGAGATGCATACTTGCATCCTACACTAGAGATCACTATCTTACAAAGGTCCTACAGTACGTGGCTGGCAAAAACCCTCACGTAGAACCCAGAACTCCTGAAAGTTCAAGTATTTATGTTAGTTACAAGTATTTTTGTTGTTGTTGTTTGGAAATAATCTTCAAAGCATTGATTCTAATAATTGAAACGAAGAAACCGTGTGTTTTGAAATTTTCTCTACTAAAAAAAAAATGTGTAGGGAATACAAGGACACCAGATATCCATTAACAGAGGATAGTTTGAATGAGCTTACTGGCAGGAAGTGGCTTATATTGTTTCCAAAGTTGTACTGGTTGTGCAGATGAGTGGTCAGCCTGCCCTAGGTCAACTGGTTAACCACAGATGGAGAGATAAGGGAATAGGAAGGCTTTTTCATATACCCATTTCAAGCAAAACTATATGAAACTAGTGGATTTACAGAACAAATTAAGTTAGGGAGTAACGATTCACTTTTTAAAGGATTTTCTATGGGTTTCCTTTAGGAGAGTTGCCATAATGTATTTAAGGCATAGTTTCATTTAAAGAAATCCAATTTCAATCCAGTCTATTAAGAAAGTATCAGTTTTGGGGGCGTCTGATAGCTCAGTCAGTTGTGGTTTTGGTTCAGGTAGTGATCTTAGGGTTGTGGGATTGAACCCAGTTAGGGCCTCTGTGCTCAGCAGGGAGTCTGCTTGAAGATTCTCTCCCTCTACCCCTCCCCACCCCTGCTTTCACGCGGATGCACACACACACATACACTCTCTCTCAAATAAATAAATGAATCTTTAAAAGAAATCAAACTTGAATGAGGTTTCATCTCAGACCAAACTGTAATAGGTTTCATGAAGAGAGAGCAATATCCTAAGTAGAAAAGGGAACTTACAATCTATCGTGACAATGAACAAACATTTCATAAATTTGCAAATGTATCAGAAACATTTAGGCATAAAGCATTTAGGGAATGCTAAACATGGTGGGGGCAGAAAAACTAAAGAAATAACTCCAAAGGGTTTCAGTGTGCAACAAGATAGACAAGTGACCAGTTGTTTACAAGCCAGTGAAGGGGCAAAGAGTGTCAATTCTTTTTAAAAAAATTTTTTAATTTAGGGATCCCTGGGTGGCGCAGCGGTTTGGCACCTGCCTTTGGCCCAGGACACGATCCTGGAGACCCGGGATCGAATCCCACGTCAGGCTCCCGGTGCATGGAGCCTGCTTCTCCCTCTGCCTGTGTCTCTGCCTCTCTCTCTCTCTCTGTGACTATCATAAATAAATAAAAATGAAAATTAAAAAAAATTTTTTTAATTTAAATTCAGTTAGTTAACATATAGTTTATTATTTGTTTTAAGGGTAGAATTTAGTGATTCAGCAGTTGCATAAAACACCCAGAACAGGGACACCTGGGTGGCTCAGCAGTTGAGCATCTGCCTTTGGCCCAGGGCGTGATCCCAGGGTCCCTGGATCGAGTCCCACATCGGGCTCCCTGCATGGAGCCTGCTTCTCCCTCTGCCTGTCTCTGCCTCTCTCTCTCTCTCTCTCTCGCTCTCTCTTTCGTGAATAAATAAATAAAATCTTAAAAAAAAAGAAAAAGAAAAAACACCCCACACTCATTATATCACGTGCCCTCCTTACTACCCATCACTTGGAAGTGTGCCCATTCTGACCCACAACCCTCCCAGTGTCACCCCCCCACCCCATTAATCTTGCTTGAGTTGTCCCCTTGCCTTAGCCCCTTCTCACTCTTAGCTTTTCCTGCAATTTCTGCATCTATGACGTAACCCTTAGGTTCCAAACCAGAGCTGCAAAAAGAGGGACACACTGGAGACTTTGAGATTAAGACCCAGGGCTAAGAAAACAAAGCTTCAAGATTCAGTCATCTGTGCACCCTGATCTTTCTTATGGGATATGATGAGGATACAAAAACCCAGAAATACTGTTACCTTAAAAATAAAAGTTAGTCACTTTACCCGCGAAAGTGGAATAGCAGAGAATGGCAGTTTGGGACCTGCGAGCTATGGCAAGACCATAGACAAGTCCAACCAACAAAGGAGACGAACATTGTTTTATGGGCAAAGAGGAGGAGGCTGGGAGGGGTTGTTCTGAACCAAAGTCCGCTGGAGAAAAGGCAGAGTTGAGGGTGATGGTGACTTGTCACTGGCTGAGCTGCAGGGGTGCTCACTTCTTGCGGGAGTTGTAGTGCCCATCTTTCCCACTGGGGCCTGGAGTTCAGGATTCTTCCTGGTTGAGGGTTCTTCTGTTGGGTCTGACACTGACCCTGAGTCACGGGGCTGCCTCTTTCAGCCTCCCCTTCTGCACCCAGAATCCACCTTGGTGACCTTTCCCTTTACTGACTTTCACAAATACTACCTCCAAAAAGTTTTCATTCTGAAATAATTGCTAGATAGTACAAGTCTACTCTTCATCCAGATTCACCACTTGTTAACAGTTATCATATTTGCTTTATTACTCTCATTCTCTATGGAGCTATTAAGATCAAATTGAGATATGCCCCTTCACCCCTAAATATTTCAATATGTATTTTCTGAGAACAAGGACATTCTCTGACAAGAGCACAATAAAATTATCCAAATCAAAAGATGTAATATGATCACAATATTATCTAATACATAATCCACATTCAAATTTTGCCAATTGTCACAATAATGTTGTTTTTAGGTATTTTTCCTAATCCAGAATCCAATTCAGGATCATCCATGACTGCAATTACCTTCCCTTCTCAGTCTCTCCTAACCTGGCACGAATCTCCATTCCTTGTCTTTCATGATGATGTTGTTGAGGAGCATGGAACAATCAGCCAGATTGGCCCATTTCAAATAACGGTTATGCTTCCTTTTTTTCTTTTTTCAGGAATACTATCTAGTGTCACTTCTTTTGAGGATATCATATCAGGAGGTATGTGGTGTCCATTCCTCTCAAAACGCTGGCTATTAATGTTAATGATTTGATTACGGTAGTGTCCACCAAATTTCTCTATTGCAAACTTTTTATTTTTGCAAGTAATATGCAATTTGTAGGGAGTTATTTTGAGACCACCTAAATATTACGTTCCACCTACCTTTACTTTCTCCTTTTAGCATTTTTTTGATGACTCTTGCCTCAATCAATTTTCTATTGAGACACAATTCAGTGTAACAATCACTTTAACTTACTAGTTTTAGCATACTCCCAAGATCGTGCACCCTAGCTCTCCAACCCTGAAGCCCCTTCACCCCTACAGCATGCCACTCCCTCCCCTCTGCAGGCCTCCCCAGCCACACCCTGTCCCCCACCCCACTAATCCTCTGCCTGCCCAGGATTTACTACCCCAGCAGGACCTCCCTCTCCACCCCCTCCCCACAGCAGGCTGCCTTTGCTCTCCCATCCCTCACCAGGACCCCGCCCCCCCAACGCAGGATGCCTCTCCCTCCTCCCACCCTGCCCCCCCCAACCAGGACGCCTCTCCCTCTGCATCCCCCAGCAGGACCCCCCCCACCTCGTCCCCACAGCAGGCTGCCTCTCGCTCTCCCATCCCTCTCCCTCCGGCCCCCCCCCAAGGAGGACGCTTCTCCCCCTGCATCCCCCAGCAGGACCCCCCACCTCGTCCCCACAGCAGGCTGCCTCTCGCTCTCCCATCCCTCACCCTCCGGCCCCCAGCAACGCAGGATGCCTCTCCCTCCTCCCACCTTGCCCCTCCCCAAGCAGGACGCTTCTCCCCCAGCATCCCCCAGCAGGACCCTCGCCCCCCCCAAGCACGCCGCCTCTCCCCCTGCATCCCGGGGCAGGACCCTCCCCTCCCCCCGCCCCACTCCCGGCCCCCGGAGCCCCGCGAACCGCCCCGTGCCGCCTCCCCGCACCCCCCACCCCAATGCTGCCCCGTGGGTCTGGCCTCTTACATTCAGCACGGTGTTTTCCAGGTCCATCCGCCCGGTAGCCCTGATGAGTACTCACTCCCCGCCGTCCGCCTGAAGGGACCGCCTGACGGCACCGGCGACCACGCGCTGCCCACGTCGCGTCCACACTCGCCAGGCAACACTACTCCCCGCCCGCGTCAGGAGGCGCGCCCCGAAAGCCGCGCCCGCGGGCTGCACTCGGGCAGGCAGGGCTCCCTCGCCCTCCCGTCTTGCCGGCCTCGGGTCCGAGGGCTTCCAAAGGCCCCATTCCCGGGACGGAGGAGGCCCGGCCACCCCGCCACCCGGACCGCGGACCCCGAGACCCGCTCGCGCCGCCACACTCCGCGCAGGCCCCGCCCCTCGGCGGCCCCGCCCCCTCGGCGGCCCCGCCCCCCTCGCGGCCCGGGGCGGAAGTGACGCACCGGAAGCGCCCCTGGTCCCCTTGCAGTGGGGGCAAGGAATCAAACCCCCAAGATGGCGGCGGCGTCGGAGGAGCGGATGGCTGAGGAAGGAGGCGGCGGCCACGGCGACGGCGGCCCCTCTTCGGCCGTCGGTTCTGCCCAGCGACTGCCCCCCCCGCCCCCGCCCCCAGCCCCGCAGCCGGGCTCCCAGGCGCCCCCAGCCCCGGCGCTGGCTCCCGACCAGCTGCCTCAAAACAACACGCTGGTGGCGCTGCCCATCGTAGCCATCGAGAACATCCTCAGCTTTATGTCCTACGACGAAATTAGCCAGCTCCGCCTGGTGAGGCCCCCGCGGGACCCCCGCCGCCCCCTCCGCCGGCCGCGGTCTGGGGAGGGGCGGAGCGGGGAGCGCGTCCCCAGGGGAGGGAGCCGCAGCCGGCTCCAGTACGCGGGGTGCCGGCGCCGGGCGGCGGAGGCGTCCCCTTCCCGCCGCGGGGCTGGGGGGCTCGCTGCCCCCGCCGGGAGCCGGGCGTCCCAGCGCCGGCCCGCGGCTCCGGCCGCCCCTTGGGTGCTCCGGCGCCCAGCCCCGCGGCCGGGCCGGCCAGGTTCGGTGGGTCGGCAGGAAGCGCGCACTGTGCCCCAGCCTGGCCCCCCGCAGCCCCGGACCCAGGTCTCCCAGTCGGAGAAGATGGAGAAGGGTCGACGAGGCCTCCCCACACCCGGGGGGCCCGGGAGGCCCGAGGGGCCCGGGGGGCGTGAGCTCCGGGGGGGGCCGGCTCCCCAGGTGACCCGTAACGTAGAGCCCACCGAGAGCGCGTCCGGCTCGGCCTCGCCCGGCTCTCCCGCCCTCGGGGAGCACCTCGCCCCTGGACAGGGTTGGTTTCTCGCAGTTCGTGTGCTAACTAGTGACTTAACGCCCACCCGCCAGCTTCAAGTCTCAGGAGTTGAGGGGTTTCCAGAACGGACCGACGAGCCGGTGGGCTTCGACCTCGCCCCCTCCCCCCACCCCCGCCTTCCCTGGAGGGGGTGACGAGCCGCTTGGTTCGGGGACGTGTTTTGCTTCCTGTCGGGCAATTTATCCTTAAGTGGGAAGGAAATCGAAGGAGGTGGACGTGTTGAAGAGATCGCCAACCGATTCTGTGTAGGGGCTAAATCTGTGCGGGGATTGTTTTTAAGAGGACAAAGACGTATTTCTGAATGTACAGCGGACAGCATTTTCCCCTTCACGGGCCACACTCTGGGTGTACACTTGCAGTGTTAACGGGATGATAATTGCGCTTTTGAAAGGGAACCATACTTTTTAAAGAAAGTTTATAAATTTTGGCACAAACTGATGACCCAAGGTTTTTTTTTTTTCCAGTGAACCCAGCGGTTCTGCCCCTCCACCCCCGACCCCCCAGTCTGCAGGAACGGAAGATTCTTCGGTGGAAAAGCCATATTTCAAAATTGATTCTCCCTGAATTCCCATACATGTCATCCTAGAATTCCATATAGAGTCTTAAATGTTTTTTCCGGTGTTTATAAAGGATGGTCTTTGATCGAGGTTCATGGTGTCTGGAAACTGGGCATAACATTTGATTGGATTGAGCCTCAGTCAGACAATGGCTTTTGGAAAGCTTGAAATATTCCCAGTTCTGTTTTTTGTAAGTGTGGGGGGAAAACTGTTTGTTTGTTTGTTTGTTAGTCATTTACTTTTTTAAGACATTTTTTAAGGGGGAAAAAACTAGCTTCTCAGGGGAGAGAGTTAAAATACATCCCTCAGTTTATTAATAAATGAGATCTCTTTCAAGTGAAATATTCAGTTGCATTCTTAACTGTAAAGCAGTCATCTATTCTAGCCTTTTGTTGCTTCAAAGATTTTTCATAAAGAGCCTCTTCCCATCCCCTGTGCTACCTTCCTTTTCACCGCACCCCACAAAAGATTCTGCAATTTTATGTCTCAGGAGTCTTTTCCCTCAGGTTTAGTAATGGGGAACTATTTTCTTATTCCTTTGTTTACTTGAGGTTAATAGATAATTCTTAGATTAAGTGGATAATGTTTTGTGGACATTTGAAAGTGTCTTTGGCTTCAGATTGATTGGTTTGGTGTCATAAGATACAGTTCGGGTAGCATTATAAAAGATGTTCTTTCTTGCCACTAGATGTCAGCATTAATTTAATTGTGGTCTCAATGAAATTGGCAGTCTATAAACAGTGCCTGGTAGGTGCTTTACTTCTACCTGAAGAGCTATTTGCTAGAAAATCAAGGAACTTTAGTATATATGCTACTATCTGGAGTACACATTACATAGCTCCCTTCATTTTAAGGGTGTGTGTGTGTGTGTGTGTGTGTGTGTTTAGTGGGATTAAGGCTGGACGTGCTTGGAAGAGTGATATTAATTAAGAATAGAATTAGTTTCCATAAAGCTAAATGTCATCTGCTTAGTGGTTGATGATCTAGTTTATGTACTGTTTGGATGTTTGGGTTCTTTTCTTTCTTCCCGGTTTACATGCCTCACTAGGACCTCAATTGTAACTACGGTTAGCACCAAAATTTGAGGACAGGCACACAAACCATGTACTTATTACTCTGTATTTTCTTTAAAAGATTTGCCCTCAGTTGAAATTGCTAAAAATAACAGTTTTCTGCTTTGTGCATTTAGTTGATGATAGTCTTTGCTTTCTGTTGCCATGAATAATTGAAATTTGACTCTCCAGTCTAGTTATTTCCAAGGGATTGTCCAGATCCCTTATTGAATTGTTGGTTTGTTTGGTCATTTTTCCTCCCATTGACTATTGCTCCAAAAATGTACCCAGAGCCTAGAAATCCTGGTTACACAGAAGTAGTTCTTTAAAGATTTAATCGTATTTAAAATTATTTGGCAGAACACAGCTTTTGAAGTGACAAAACTTGTACTTTGAGTTGTTTTTCCCGTAAATCAGACAGATTTGTGCTGATGCAGCGTTAGACTGTCACCTAGGCCCCCTTGACAATGGCAAAGGTTAAGAAGTGAGGTCCTACCGCTAGTTAGGGAGTAAATCTAAGCCAAGTTTGAGTGTTTGACTTTGACTTTGTGAGCACAGTGTTCTCACTCACTGAAAAATGAGTGTGGGAGGCTTTTTAAAAGCTGTTTTACAGGGATCCTATCAAATTTCTTCCTGTATGGTCTGAATGGAGCTCCTATAAATTTAATAGAATCCTATTAGTGGTTTAGGACATAAATATGACTGAGGGTTAAATTCAGAAGTCTTGCTCATTATCTAGAATGAAATTTTCTGGTAGGTAGCAAAATACATATGTACTTTCATCCCAATATATTTCTCTAGAGCACTCTAGCAAGTTAAATATGTTACCCGTTTATAGTTCCTTTTACATCTTTTGTTCAAATATGTGAGACAGGGATGCCTAGGTGGCTCAGCAGTTGGGCCAGTGCCTTCGGCTCAGCTTGGGATCCCAGGGTCCTGTGAAGAGCCTGCTTCTCCCTCTGACTACGTCTCTGCCTCTCTTTCTCTGGCCTCTCATGAATACATAAATCTCTTTTAAAAAACACAAGTGTGTGGGACAGTTTTATAGAGAAGGTTGATTGGTAGGAAATATGAAGGAAAATGAGAAACCATTACTTTTTAATAGGCAAGCTGTCTTCCTCATATCTCTTGTTCTTTGCCAGTAGTTCTGAAATTTTTTTTAACCTCAGGACATCTTTACACTCTTAAAAGTTATTGAGGACCCTATAAGCTTACCTTAGAAAATCCTAGAAGACACAGGAAGAGACAACACATACTCTCTTAGCTGTCAGAAAAACTGTTAGGTGTCATGCTGCTACTGGGAAGGTCCACTGTAATGTTATGGAGGAACGAGAGTAAAAATGGTAAGTAACGTCTTAGTATTATGAAAATAGTTTGGCCTCAGAGTCTCGGAAGGATCTTGGGAATCCCAGGGGTCCCTAGACCTCACTTTGAGAACCAAAGCTCTTTGTTGCAGCCTGATGGAGAATATATTCTCTGTATTGTTGATTTGTGGGGTTTTTCCCCACCATTGCATCATTAAGTTGATTTTATTAACAGGTACTTACAGGTAGGAGATTATGATATTTAGGGGACTATTCATTTTCTCCTACAGATTCTAGTCCTGAAGTGAAAGGGATTCAATCAGTAACCTTGTCCACAGTGTCATGAAGACAATGGACACACACCCCTTCTTGAGCAAACTTAGAAAGCACCAGGATGGCAACTGCAAAGATAAGAAATACAAGAACGTTGAGGTTAATCGGGAGCATTTAATCAGAGAGGCTCCCTCAAGATAATGAGTTTTTATCCAGTTTATCCTTAGTAAAGGAAAGAGAGCATTCCCAGCAGAAAAGAAATGACGTGTAATGTAGTGAAGCGATTGGAGCAGGGTGACTAATTAGAACTATGAGGCGATTGTTTGAAGTGTCAGATGTCCTAGATTAGTGTTCAGACTCTACCCCCCCACCCCCTGCAATGTTCTACATTTTTTTATTTCTCAGACCGGCCAGATTTAAGAAACTATTTTGAGAACCTCCAGGGTTGACACCTTTTGCAAGGGGGCAGCAAGTAGGGATCTTAAACAGCTTCCACCATTTAACTCATCATTATTTCCTAACAGTGACCAGAGGCACCTGCATACTCCACTCAGCAGAGCAGCATAGATTCTTTTGGGACGGGAGAAGGTCCTAGCTTCAAAGGATGGCCAATGTATATGATCCAATCTCACAATTTTTGAGACTAGGAGCAAAAGATAACCTTTGATAGAGGTTTCTTCCAACCACCCACTTCTAGCATCTTGTACTTAAGCTTGATCGAAGCAGGCATCATGAAGCTGTTGAGTTTCCCAAATATCCTAGGCCTCTGGGAGCATGTGCTGCTGCTTCTGTAGCCTCCCCTTCTCTCCTTCTAGAACAGATCTGTACCTTGAGGATACACCTCAAGTGTCAGTTATGTCAGAAAAGTCTCTTTGGCTCTTCTCTGCACTTGACTGGGTAGTACTTCCGAGTTCCCATGCAACGTGGTTGTACTTACAGATTTTATTGGAATTGTCTTTGGAGGGGCCAGTTGGGCACTGAATTTAGGCTCCATTTCATCAGGAATTCCAGTGGCCTTCTGTAGTCTGTGATTCAATATAAATACTCAGTATTTGTTAAGTAAATGAAATATTCTTAAGAACAGCAGTATTCTAAGTAAAGGAGAGAAAATAAGTGTCATTGTGAAATAAGTGTATTTTCTTTTTTTTTCTTTTTTTTCTTTTTTTTTAATAAGTGTATTTTCTGTACAGATTATGGTAGTGCTAGAAAATGCACTGCTTCATATTTACCTTCAACAGAAGAGATTAGGATTTTTTTT